CAATCACCATCATTCTGACATTATTATCCTCCTCCTCCTCCTCCTCCACCTCCTCCTCCTCCTACTCCTGGAACTCGCTTATGACTCTCGTCACTTCAACAAATACAACCAGTTTATTTGCTTTTAAAAAGACTACAANCATCATCTGACATCATCATCATACTCATCAACATCCTGACATAATAATTAACATCATCATCCTCATCACAATCATCTGACATCATCATCATTATCAGAAATCATCATCAGACATCATCATCATCCTGAAAAAAATCTTAGCATCATCTTCATCCTCATCCACATCATCATCATCATCATCATCATAATTGTCTTACATCATCCTCATCATCTTCAGCCATCATTATCCTATGCCAACATTTTCATCTGATATCATAAGCAGACATTAAAAGATTGCCAATGCCGTGTACATACTTAAAGACATATACACAGAGACGCTGATGCAAACACAATATATATAAACCTATGACATCAAACATGCAAGAGCAAAACCAAATAACTTAAACAGAAAAGAAAAAAACCCATTACAGTTACTAGGTCATTTTATTTTAACTTAAGCCTGGCGGATTAAAAATTATGAAAAATTTGATGATTATTATAACAGTGAGGAGATGATAAAGTACAATAGATGTATATATGTATAGAACAAATATATAAAACAAATATGTCATATTAAGTCATATTATAACTGCATCCAGTTATGTATTTGATGGTTTAACTCATCCTTATTTATTAATTTATTCGGTTTAGACGCAAGGATCTTTTGTGTTTTTAATCAAAATTTCATATGGTTTTTGAGACTAATCAGATTAAGGTTTATTTCTAGGCATTTAGTTGTATATAGTAAAATGATGTAGTATTAAGTATTAAGTAGTATTATGACGTTTTCTATATAAAACTGTGTATGTGTATCAAATTTTAGTGTAAGTTTTTTCGTTATAATATTTGTTTTCAGCTCGTCAATTAGCCTATAAACTTTTTCGCAATCCCATAGCATATGCACTTTTGTGTCAGGGTGAATTTTACAGAAAGTCCAAAGGTTATTGTGTGATTTTTCAATTTTGAATACAAATGTGTTTGTAGTGAGGATTTTGTGATTTATTCTGTCCTGTAGCCACTGTAGTTTGGAGTTGGTGGTGGTTTTAAAAGGACATTCATATAATTTTTTCCATGTTTCTTCATCTATGTTATCATTTAAGATCTATTTTCTTTGAGCAGTAGGTTTAACAATATTTTTAAATAATATTGAATATATGTCTTGTGCTCCTTTTCTATTTCTAAGTATTAACTTAAGATTGATAGGTATATTTGGGACAATAACTGTTTTTTTCTGAAGTAAAAATGTGATGATTTTTTCTTATAAAATGATGCAAAGCATTCTTTAGGCCTTGGTATGTCAAAAAATTAGTATTTATGTTATATTCTTCCTGAAATTCTTCAAAATAATAGAGTGATCCACCCTGTTAAATAATGTTATATACAAATTGTTCTCCCTTTTTAAACCATGCTTTTTTTAATTAAAATTGTCTGTCAATTTTATTTCACTATTGAACCACAGAGGCTTTTCACGTTTATTGGTATTGTATATATTGCTAGAGATAATAGTATTGTACCATGCTTCTAAGACATCTTTCCAAAAGAGGTTACTACAATGTTTCATTCTTCTTTCAATTTTTCAAGTCTAAAGTTAGCTCATGTTTCTTTATCAAAATAAGTTTCTTAAAAAAAGTGCCCAATTTCCTTCTTCTTTATATACCCGTCTTATCCATGTTGCTTCAAGAGCTGTTATAAAAGATTTTAAATGTACCATTTTCAGACCACCTTCTTCATAACTTTTAATTATCACATCTCTCTTTATTTTATCTGGTTTACCATTCCACAAAATATTATACAAAATACTATCAATTTTTCGTGTATACATTTCATCAGGATTTGGTAGTGCTATAAATAAATGGTTAAATTGTGATATAAGTAGTGTTTAATAACTGATATTTTACCTATTGGTGTAAGTACTAGTCTATTCCATGATGCTATAAGAGATTTTAGTTTTATAAGATGTATTTTTTTATCAAAATTAAGCATATTATTAAGTCTATTGTAGATATTAACCTACTTGCTTATGTTGGGGATGACTATTTACAAACATGCTATAATAGATGCAATAACCAGCTCTGAAAAGATATCCTGAAGGCATGGGAAAGACTAAGAAAGGCTAGGAAGGAAAACCCATATGGACAAGGGAAATAGGTCGTGAAAATTCCAATATGATTTGATAGACAAAGAAGTGTTGATAGGTCAGTGTTTTACAGAGAATGGTAAAACAAAGGTTTAGTAATAATCAGTGATTTATCAAGAAGGATAACTCTTTCTTCAATTTTCATGATTTTATAGACTTATTCCAAATAAACACAGATTTTCTAACTTTCCAAGGTGTTATGGCTACAGTAAGACAGCTTTAAGTAGGTAATGACATGCCATTTAAAAAGTCCCATCTCTGCTAAAGGCTCAAACGTTTTTACAGCACACTGGTAAATAGAAAAAGAATTCCAACTGGACAGGTTAAATGGAATGTTGAACTGGACATCAATGACCAGTACTGGAAACGAATACATCAAATCCCTTTCAAAGCTACTTCTAATACAAAGCTACAATGTCTTCAGTTTCGAACTTCGCATCATATACTGACAACAAATTATTTTATATCTAAAGTAGGTATCTTAGATAATCCTCTATGTACTTTCTGTAATCAAGTTGAAGAAACTATGCTGCACTTATTATGGGAATGCCAAGAAGTTCAGTCATTTTTGCAAAGTTTTGAATCTCTTCTAGATGCATTGCTAATTCCTTTCAATACAATAAAATCACTTTCATATTAGGATTGTTTCCACAAACAGAACGGTTTAATAAGAGCGATAATGAAATACTTTTAATAATTAAGCTATACATTTACAGTTCTAGATGTAACAATATAATGTTGAATTACAGCTCTTTAATTCTTAAAATCAAGTACCATTACACTGTACAACGGTATATTGCAACTGCTAAAGGTGAATACTATATACAGAGATTTACTGCTTACTGGGATAAATGGATGCGGTTAATAGAGCTTGTGGACTAATTTTAAATGCAAGTGTAGTTATATACATGTACTTACACACTTATACACATGTATATTTTGAATATATGTTAATTTTGAAATAATTCTATTGAAACTGCTCAGTACTCTGCCAATATATTTTGCTGATTCTGGAAAGAAATATATTTTTAAGTATTATATGAGTATAGTTTGGCATCCCTGTCTCTGGTATCTATCCCTAGAATTCATCAATAAGATATTTTTGCAACAGAATATCTATACCTATTCATTCCTTTTCTTATTCCTTTCTTCCCTCTTGTTTTTCTTTCCTTCATTTTCGACAATATTACATACATATCAGATATCGCAATTACAGGAGTTTTATATTTTTGTATGTAGAGTGTATGGGAGTGTGTGTAGTGAAAGCGTATAGGGTGTATCTGTTGGTGCTTTTTTTAATTAAGTGCAGTACATGATTTAGTTCTGAAATAAAATATAACATGATTATATTGTCCGTCATAAAATGTGTATACATGTAACAATATATTAAAAAGAAAAATCGTTATGCTGATCTTCCTCATTATGAATGAGTCAATAATGATTGCGGAGTGTTGATGTCAAATATTGAGTGTAAGAATTAAAAAAATGATGTTGCAGTGTGGTTCAGTGGCTGTCTGTTGAAGTGTGTTGCTGATAACACGCATCTATAGATGATGACAATGATGATGATGATGATGATGCTGATGATGACTATGATGAACGGATAGTTTGAATGTTAAGGATGATGATGATGATGATGATGATGATGATGATGATGATGATGATGATGATGATGATGATGATGATGATGATGATGATGATGACAATCAGGATGAGTGAATTAAGTGTCAAAATGTGTGTAATAGAGTGTAAAAATGAAACAAAAAATGTTTTGTATCTATATTATGAAAAATCTTTGGACAAATAAAATGATACAAACAAAATATATTCGTTTTCCTAATAAGGAAGGAGTGTATGTATACATTAGAAAATTTGCTATATAAAACGTTTCCTTTTCCAGACAGATTGAAACGCTGTCTTGTTTGAACATCAGTGCCGGTAAGAGGTTGTTAAAAATAGGAGGTTACAGGCACATGTACATGTACTTTGCGTCTTACAGGAATTCTACTCCTTTGCTCAAACACCGTTTATTCCTGAAGATAACAACTGATATCTTTACAGTAATTCGATGAGTATCAGAAACTGAATTATTTATGCTTCATATTTACCTCTAGAAAATAACCCAAGAAAATAATAATGTGGTTCGAACTCACAACTAATAAAATTGAAATATGAACAAAGGATTTTTTACCTGGAGGCATTTCAAAAGTTCAAGGAAATTAAAACCAGGTGTTCCAGAGGGGTTACCGTTATCCTTTCTGTTGACGACATCAGCCATATACGTTTCGGTTAACTCAAAGTAAGGTCACGTCCTTAGAGCTACATCTGGGGTGGTGACAACCAAGCAACAAGACACATTAATGAGCATAATGAGGATATACATATATATATAAACCCATCTCAAATCACAAAGAATTTATCTCAGAATCACATCATATTGGTGACTATTAAAAGTGTTCATAGTCTTCATTAACCTGCATCTTTGAAAACGCTATGTTGTAAATTGTATGTCATCAGGCAGGAGTCAAAAGTCATGATATTCGGAGCAAGCTCTTGAATATCGAACAACCGCGATATGTACTAGTGTAATAAGCACCAAAGGTTTGTAACTATGAAGAAGGGAAACTTTACGACGGTTTAATACGGGTATTTTCAGTGACATTTCATTACATTCGAAACAAACAAAAATAGGTCTGGACAAAACAAAAAAAAAACATTTGACAAAAAAATTAAAGTGTTCATTTAACTTTTCAGAAAGAAATCTTTATCATTTGAGACAAGTGCACCGTAAATAAATACAAACATGGTAAGTCGAACAAGTATCATTATCAATGTTTTATTTTTGTTACTTACATACTCAAACTTTCTAGATTTACATTTTTATTCTGTAATCTCAATTGGTATTTTACAGGAAAAACAACGGCAAACAACACTGGGACAGAAATCAGCGGTCAACACACAAACTATTGAAGGTATCTAATAAACAATTTCCCAGTACCACAATAGTATAAGGCCAGAAAGTTCAATTTTGTCCAAGTTTCTGACTTAATATACATTAAACTGCCAGTAACCCCTTTCACTACCTTGTTAACGTTTTAATGACTGTCTTGTATTTGCTAGAGACTATGACCTCTTGAGCCATATGCCAGTTAGCAGCAGCTTGGCGGTTGGGGACTTTTGGAACATAATAGGGCAACATAATTTAAAACAAAATCGATATATGAAAAATTATAAACAAAATGTGACACGCCCACGAAACTCGGTAATCACTTTAATACATATCTTCATTGAAACATTGAAAGCACAAACAATGTTGTTCATATGTGACACTATGTCGATCGTAAAAAATCATCACACTTAGGTTAATGTACGAAATATGAAAATTTGAAACAGTGACTTTTCGCTTTTTTCACCTTTTCGACTTCTACTCGGTAGGTATAGAATATAGAAGAAAACGCCACTTGAGAAAAACAAAACAACAATGTCCCAGCGACACAGTAACGTTTAAGAATGCAAAATGCCCCTATCACCTTTGTCGCCGTTACACATTGTAATGCTGCAAAGAGGTAGCAAAGTGGAAAAGGTTGTAAAGAAAAGAAAATTGCCCTAATGAACAACCGCATTTTAGCATGTGACATTTTTGCTGGAAATTTTGTACCTAAAATGAAAACCTTTATGCACAGATTTACGGAAAGAAAATGCTGCTCTTAGACTGAAACTACTGCTCCCTATGCCATATCCGACGGAAAGGAGTGCTGTACCTTGGATGCAACCATCTGGCACTGTGTGAACAGTGCGATAAAGTCCAGAAGAATTGCGTTATTTGCCGAAGGAAAATCCATGCCTCTATGTATGTGTATTTTGGAACGTAGACTATTAAATCAACAACGTTAACTACTACGGAACAAGTGAACGGTTAAGATAAACCCCCTTTACAATGGATATGGATTCCCTGTCAGTGCGTGGCCTTTCCGTAAACTTGTAGCTCTGCACTGTAACATAACAAAAAGAATAGTGTAAGAACATATGATGAACGTTATAGACGTGAAAAAACACCAACGATAAACAATAGCATGTTTTACAATGTGACGATCATGTAATGCCTCATCCTAGCGCCATTACATGATTTTGCTAAGCACGTATAATCAACTTTACAGCTACGCGGATTGGTTGGTTCCATGAACATAATAATAATTCGCGTGTGAAGGTATAATTCGTTCACCACTAAATGTAAATAACTAATGACATCATTATTATGCAGCAGTTCGAAAATGGTTATGACGATATTTTTGGCTATGGTACATACTGAAAAACGATTGTTCCAATCACGAATTGAATTCCTTTCGTGGTTTTATTGTTTCATTTGACAACCAGTGTCAGACACTGTTCATTTTGGAATCTTGTTATGAGATGAATGTGTTTCAATGTATTAAGCTGTGATGTTCAACTGAGGTTTTTTTTCGAGAAGGAATCAAATCTTACGAAAACGTAAATAGAAACAAACCCTGGGAACGTCATTTTTGCGGAGCAAATATTGAAAGATGACGGGCAGTGTTCAGAGAAACAGTCAACAATTGTACACATGTATCATGTAGCTATATCAGAAAAGTGGCGTCAACTGTCGGTCTCTCGATTGACAAAAAAAGGCATAATCATGGTACCTAACACTTATTCTAAAAGCTTAATAACCAAACACGGTCCTTATAATTAGAATCGAAGAACTGGTAGTTGTAGCTTACAGATCACAAACAGCTAAAATGAATGGTGATGAACCATATCTAATCTACTTCACAAATCAACTTTGACACCATACCAACGATTCATTGAAACTCCTGTCGACAGACACATAAACTCATAATTACCTCTGATAAATAAGACACGAACTTCGCTTTCGCGGTGGATTTTACGCTTTATTTGACGACGACATTCTTATGGGATATAGTTAACGTGAAGACACTGACTGATCCCAAATGGTCAAAACGTTCCATCCGTAAGTGGTTTTGACAAGGAGTGACCTAGACCTCCACTAACGTCAAACCGTACATCACATAGATTTAGAAACAAACGCTTCAGCACTATGCGATTTAGAGGAAAATACCATATATACTTTATGGTTTGTTGTATGCAACCGAAATGATTATTGAAAGGTTTCAAATAATTTCAAGTGTCAAAAATGATTCTTGTAATTTCATTATTGAACAAATTTAAATATCGAATCCAGGTTTTTTAATTGTTTTTTTCCTCTTTGTTTTTCATTTACCTACCATTAGTTTGAATAATACCTGCTGAAAAGTGTGAGAATAATAATTGGGAATAACGATGGTAGATTGTCATAAGGATAAAAATACAAGTTATATTAGATAAATGATTTTCCTTTTAAAGATTCCATTTTTCTCGCCAGGGAATCAGAATAATATAATTCGAAGAAAGAGAAAATTATATATTGTCTAATAAATGCTTCGGTTTATGTGTATTTAAGAACATTTTCCGGGATTATTTCCAGCGAATAGTATTACTTATATCGTTGTAAAAAAGTTATACATAAGGAATGGAGTTTTTGATGCGTTATAGGGAAGAACATATTATCTAAGAGACATAATGAGTGGTAATGGTTAATCTGTTATGTCATAAACATATGGTAAATAAATGTGATGCTTTTCCCCTAACACTGGGCTTTATATGTTTAGCATTAAGGACACGTTAAATACTATCTTGGGTGCCTTCGGATTCTGAAATCGGTATGAGTCCTGCAGATACCATCTCCAGTATTGGCACATATAGTACACATGTTACAGCTAAATTCATGATCTTACAATTTGATATGACGCTAACTCTAGATAACAAAACCAAACCCTTTCGTCGATCATACTTTTCATGATATTCGATATGAGGTCCTCTAAACATTTGCCACTACCTGGTACATGTAAAGATACAGTGATCTCAATCAGAGTTGAAAAGGCTGTGTTTAACAGGGCTTTGATATATCGCTTTTCGATATCATTTTCAAACTCTGGTAAGGGAACCTTATAAAACCTAATGCATTTTAACAATGTAGAATGTGGTAGCTCTTAGGACCACTTACAATAAAGTAGAACGTACTTCAATCATCTCATGATGGCCCTTAACGGCCCGGAAATACAAGTGAGCCAATGACTAAACTGTCTATCACCTTGCAGATGTTTAATGATGTACGTCATCTAGTCAGTTCACTTTTCGTTTGACGCAAGAAAGACGAAATATATCATTTGGACAAAACAAAATTTTATTTTTCTATTATAAGAAAAGATTAATAACCCTACTCAATTGTCGATCTACAAAATATATCTCCGTCATACAGTGATAAATTCCTATGCTTAATCAGAATTTTTTATCTCTTTATTGAGTAGCAATGTATGGCAAATGTTTGAGAAACAGTGCGTGACGATGTTTAAGCTGCAGCAAGCAACATTAAGTAATGTGGTACTGTAACTGTGTAACGATCACCAGGTATAATGCCAGCAGTTGGTAGGGATGAGCTACAGTGAAAAAATGAATACCATAAAACAATTCTACGTGCATATATAAATGTACAATGTACATTGAGTATCGTGCACTGCATCACCATCAATTATTGGCAATGAGTTTCAATTAACAATGTTTAATTCACCGATCATCAATGAGTAAGTGTCGCTAGTTATAATCCTCCCGAGAACGCACTACAGACCAAGTACTTCTCAACCAGTCTATCAAATAGTTAACTCGTTGATATTGTGATAAGAAGGTTCGTCCTCAAGCATCAACTAGTAAACTAGTTTGTACAGTCTACGCAGCAACACTGTATGGTGACCTCTATTGCCTCTTCGATGACTTATGGACAAATTCACTTTCCTTGTCGTTTGGTCTTTAAATTCACTGCCATACATGTATAAGGCACCCGATCAATATCAAGTTGACCCGAACCGTTAAGGAATGTTAATAGCACTTGTAGTTGTTTTGTGTACATGTGCAGTTTTTATAAAGTGTACATGTACAGAAATGTCTGATATTGTAGTGATTCTGTGTCGGCTGCTTTCGGCCATCGTACCACACCGTTATTCTGACAACAAAACCTCAAATTTACCAGACGATCTTTCCACTGACTGTAAATTCCATAAACAGACCTGGTCTCTTCCGTTCTCAGTATATCGACTGAAAAAGAACTACTTATTTATCTGAAAACAACCTGACCAGATAACTCCCAACACCATATTTGGCGCTTGCTATCTTTACCATCAAGGTTTTAAATACAGGCTATATTACCTGTCATCCAATCGTTGTTGGTAACGTCGCCTTCATCTTGTCAAGGTGTTTTTTTCTGGTTGTTCGTTTATGAAGTTTCATAAATTAATTGTTTGAAGTTATGATGATAGATGTGTAATGTATTAAAGTTTCTTTTCATATAAACATCCATTGTTAGTTGCGTTAAGTGTTATCAAGTTTCGTCAAGTATTTAAACTTGGAATACAAAAGTAAACATTTTATACCTATCTAGTGTGATCTCCATTTCCGTAAAATATCTATATACTAATAAGACCTTTTCGTAGTTAGATTAATGTTTTTTGTCACCCAGGTAATATACTAGCGGCTTCCTACTGACTCGGCTAGGGTCAGACATTCGGTGGAGCATAAGACTAGTACATCTAAATGTATGTCACCCTGGTAGAACAAAAAATGTCCGCTTCCTTCCATCTGGACTAAGACCACAATTAATTTTACTATATGTTTCATTGTAACATTTAATTTCATAACAAATTCCAAATATCCGATAGCCAACTTTCCATCTAACCTGGTCAAGAGCAACATCTTGGGAGTAAAATATCAAAATTTCAACATAGCATTTTGGCCTTTTTCTTGAGATAATCCTCTGCATGTGTCACCAATGTCAAAAATTCCGGGTCAGGGGTAGAGGATAACACAGGCCTTTTCACACAGTACCCTGCACCAAAAATAAATGCACAATATAAAAATATGACACAGAAATCGTTAGAGTGATATCTCCACAGTATTTTAACACCAAACTTTTACACAAACACCAAGTTCTAAGAGGCATAGTATAGTTTTTACTAAAGTACCTATATTTCTAAGGGACTTCAATTCAATTTAGCTCATTTGGTAGAGTGTAAGCCGTAAGACTAGTAAACCAGAGGTCCCGGGTTCGACTCATAGAGGAGGCAAAACAATGACCTCTGTTACATTGGCGTCCAAGTAAGGACTCGTAAAATATTGACAAATATGCTTAGCGATACTTTCACGAGAATCGCTATGACCCCTTGAAATTCGGGACGAGTTCTTTCCTGAACGGGAAATATGTTACCCTATTAAAATACTAGCCGCGTCCTACCGACTCGGATAGGGAGATTATCTCATTTGCTCATTCCGTAGAGCATAAGACTAGTAAGCCGGAGGTCCCAGGTTCAACTCCTAGCGGGGGCAATGCAAAAGTAATGATCTCTGTCGCATATATTAATTTGTACCTGTGATCGATTACACTATCACTTGTATTATTTCCCGATAATATTAGTTGCTAAGAGCCTAACAGTTGGAAAGCTCAGATGACATATTATAATGTATTGGTATTTAATATTGCACCTCACCTCATGATAATAATGTAATATTGTAAGTCAACAACACAATGAAAATGACATTAAACATGTCATTATTGAAAAGGATGTTTTATATTGTATATGTGTTAAAAGGCGTGTTTTAATTGGAATGCTAAAGAACAGTATAGTAAC